AGCAAATGAAAAACAAAACAGAGCAGGGGTTACTATTTCAAACAAATCAAATTTTAAACCAACAACAATCAAAAAGGACAAATTAGGGCATAATGACAAAGGATTCAATCCAACAAGGCATAATTCTCCTAAATATATATGCACCAAACACTGGAGCACCCAGATTCATAAAATAAGCCCTTAGAGACCTATGAAGAGACTTAGATAACCACAGAGTAATAGTGGGAAGTTTCAACTGATAGTGGCAGTGTTAAACAGATCTCCTGACAGTATCAGACAGATCATCCAGGCAGAAAACTAACAAAGATATTCAAGACCTAAACTCGACACTTGACCAAACGAACCTAACAGAAATCTACAGAACACTCAACTCAACAAGAGAATCTTTATTATTCTTATCTGCAAATGACGTGTACTCTAAAATTAACCACATGCTCAGCCACAAAGCAACTCTCAGCAAATCCAAAAAATTGAAATAATACCAATCACTCTCTCAGACCACAGTGCAATAAAAACAGAAATCAGTACCAAGAAGATCTCTCAAAACTGTTCAACTACATGAAAATTAAATGATCTGCTCCTGAATGACTTTTGGATAAACAACGAAATTAAGGCAGAAATCAAGAAATCCTTTGAAACTAATGAAAGCAAAATACAACATACGAGAATATTTGTGGCACAGCTAAAGCAGTGTTAAGAGGGAAGTTTATAGCACTAAACAGCCACATTAAAAACTTAGAAAGATATCAAATCAAAAACCTAACATCAAACCTAGAGGAACTTAAAGAAATAAGAGCAAATCAACCCCAAAACTAGCAGAATAAAAGCAATAACCAAAATCAGCTAAACTAAATGAAATTGAGACACAAAAAACATACCAAAGATCAATGACACCAAAAGTTGGTTTCTTGAAAGAATAAATAAGACTGATAGCTAGCTAGACTAATAGGGAAAAAAAGAGGGAAGAGACATATGAACACAATAGTAAGTGACAAATAGGACATTACTGTTGACCCCACAGAAATGCAAAAAAACCCTCAGGGAGTATTTTGAACACCTGTATGTACAGAAATTAGAAAATCTAGAAGAAATGGATAAATTTCTGGAAACATACAATCTCCCAAGATTGAAGCCGGAAGTAACTGAATCCCTGAACAGAGCTAAAATAATGAGTTATAAAAATTCAGTTAGTAATAAAAAGCCTACCAACCAGAAAAAGACTTGGACCAGACTTATTAAAAGCCAGATACTACCAGATGTATAAAGAAAAGTTGGTACCAATTATACTAAAACTATTCCAAAATATTAAGGAAATGGAACTCCCCCACCACCACCTTGTTCTATGAGACCAGCATCATTCTGATGCCGAAACCTGAAAGAGACACAGCAACAACAAAAAACAACTTCAGGCCAATATTCCAAATGAACACAGATGCAAAAATCTTAAACAAACTACTATCAAAGTAAATACAGAATCACATTAAAAAGCTAATCCACGATGATCAAGAAGGCTTTATTCCTGGGATGCAAGGTTGCTTCAACATACGCAAATCAGTGTATGTGATTCATCACAGAAACACAACTAAAAGCAAAAACCGCATGATCATCTCAATAGATACAAAAAAAAGCTCTTGATAAAATTCAATATCACTTAATGTTAAAAACCCTCAAGAAACTAGACATCAAAGGAATATACCTCAAAATAGTAAGAGCCATCTATGACAAACCCACAACTAACATCAGACTGAATGGGCAAAGACTAGAACTATTCTCCTTGAGAACCAGAATAAAATAAGGATGCCCACTTTCACCATTCCTTCTTGACATGGTACTGAAAGTACTACCCAGGGCAACCAGTGAAGAGAAAGAAATAATATGCATTCAAATAGGAAGAGGGGAAATCAAACTATCTCTCTTCACAGACTATATGATTCTATACCTAGAAAACCCCATCTCTACCCAAAGTCTCCTATTTCTAGTAAACAACATCAGTAGAGTTTCTGAACACAGAATCAATGTTTAAAAATCAGTAGCATTTTTATACTACTGATTTTGTACAATGTCCAAGCTGACAGCCAAATCAAGAATGCAATCCTATTCACAATAGCCACAAAAATAATAAGATACGTAGGAATACAGCTAACCAGGGAGGTTAAAGATCTCTACAATGAGAATTACAAAACACTGCTCAAAGAAACCAGAGATGACAAAAACAAATAGAAAAACATCCACGTTACTGGCTAGGAATAATCAAAATAATCAATTTCATTAAAATGGCCATAGTGCCCAAAGCAATTTACAGACTCAATTATATTTCTATCAAACTACCCACCACATTTTTCACAGAATTAGAAAAAAAAAATTCTACAATTCATATGGGAACCAACAAAGAGTGTGAATAACCAAAACGATCCCAAGTAAAGAGAACAAATCCAGAGGCATCACAGTACTCAACTTCAAACTATACTACAAGGCTTTAGTAACCAAAATAGCATGATACTGGTACAAAAACAGACACATATACCAACGGAACAGATTAGAGAACTCAGAACCAAATCTGCACACCTACAACCAACTAATCTTTCACAAAGTCAACAACAATAAGCAATGGGGAATGGGCTCTCTATTAAATAAATGGTGCCGGAATAGCTGGCTAGCCATATGCAGAAGACTAAAACTGGACCCCTACCTTACACTGCATACAAAAATCAAGTTAAGATGGATTAAAGGCTTAAATGCAAAGCTTAAAACTGTAAAAACCCCAGAAGAATACATAGGAAATACCATTCTGTACATAGGCCTCGGCAAAGATTTCATGATGAACACGCCAAAAGTACTTGCAACACACAAAACTTGACAAGTGGGACCTACTCAAACGGAAGGGCTTCTGCACAGCAAAAGAAACTATCAACAGAGTAAACAGACAACCTGCAGAATGGGAGAAAATACTTGCAAAGCATGCATTTGACAAAGGTTTAATATTCTGGATAGAATCTATAAGGAGCTCAAACCAATCAACAAGCAAAAAACAAACAACCCCATTAAAAAATGGGCAAGGGACATGAACAGACAACTTCTCAAAAGAAAGCATACATATGGCCAAAAGCATATGAAAAATGGTCAACATTATTCATCATTAGAGAAATATAAATCAAAACCACAGTGAGATACCATTTCCCACCAATCAGAATAGCTATTATTAAAAAAGAAAATAACAAATGCTGGCAAAGTTGTGGAGAAAAGACAATGCTTAAACACTGCTGGTGGGAATGTAAATTAGTTCAGCCACTGTGGAAAGCAGTTTGAGATTTCTCACAGAATTTGGAACTAACATTTGACCCAGAAATCCCATTATGGGGTATATACCCAAAGGAATATAAATCATTCTACCACAAAAATACATGCACACGTATGTTCATCATAGCCCTATTTGTAATAGCAAAGACGTGGAATCAAGCTAGGCTCCCATCAGTGGTGGACTGGATAAAGAAAATGTGGTACATATATACCATGGAATACTACACAGCCTTAAAATAGAATGAAATCATGTCCTTTGCAGCAACATAGTTGCAACTGGAGGCCATTATCCTAAACAAATTAATGCAGAAACAGAAAACCATGTACTTCATGTTCTCAATTATAAGTGGGACCTAAACATTGAGTACATGTGGATGCAAAAGAAGGAAATAATAGACACCAGGGCCTATCTGAGGGTGGAGGATGGGAGGAGGGGGAAGATTAAAAACTACATGTCGGATACTGTGCTCACCATTTGGATGATGAAATAATTTGTATATCAAACCTTGCAACACACAATTTACCCATGTAACAAATCTACAGATGTATCCCAGAAACTAAAATAAAAATTGGAAGGAAAAAAAGTTGCAGTAAGCTAAGATTTAGTATTGAAGAAGTAAATTATTTGTTGTAAATTATTTGTTATAAATTTAATGTATCCTAAGTGCAAAGTGTTTATAAAGTCTACAGTAATGTACAATAATATCCTGGCCCTTACAGTCACTCACCACTCATTGACTCACCTGGAGCAACTTCCCCAGCCTGCAATCTCCATTCATGGTAATTGCCCTATACAGATGTACTATGTTTTTTAAATTTTCATACCGTATTTTTGCTACATCTTTTCTATTATTTTTAGATATGTTTAGATACACAAATACTTACCATTGTATTACAATTGCCTGCAGTATCCAGTAAAGTAACATACTGCATAGGTTTTAGCCTAGGAGCAATAGGCTATGCCGTATAACCTAAGTGTGTAGTAGGCCAGACCATCCAGATTTGTGTAAGTACATTCTATGATGCTCACACAATGACAAAATCACCAGTGACATATTTCTCAGAATGTATCCTTGTCATTAAAGGACACATGACTTTATTATGAACTAAAGTAACATAACCACGGATTACATCAACTTTTAAGATCATAAGACAATAGCACAAAGAAAAGTTTAAAGAAATAAAAATGTGAATGAAATATATTTTTTAAAATTACACATTCTCCAAATTAAAATGAAAAGTATTATGAACTAGGAGCTCTTAACTAAATTTAATTTATATTCAAAAAATTTCACGCACTTTCTCTACTAGCAGCAATGCACAAAAACTTCAGATTATGACTATTCTCAAAGCACATTTTTTTCTGACCTTCAAAAAACCAACAAGTACAAAATATTTAACAGAACAGAAAAAAAGAGAACCACCAACTCATTTTATGAGACAGTTAAAAACCTTGAAGTCAAAATCAGAGGACATAAAAATGAAACAGTGAAAATTATGAATGTATGTATAAAATTTCTAAACAAAACACTAAAAGAAATTAAATAACATAATACACGTCACAATCAAATAAAGTCTAGCTTAACAAACAAATCAAGAACATTTCAATGTTATAAGAATCTAACAGAAAAATGAGAAAATAACATAAGCAGATAATTCACAGAAGGGAAAACCTGCACACTTTTAAGAGATATTGAGCTCTTTCCCTTCGGCGCGCCACTGAAGATCCTGGTGTCGCCATGGGCCGCCGCCCCACCCGTTGTTACCGGTATTGTAAGAACAAGCCGTACCCAAAGTGTCGCTTCTGCCGAGGTGTCCCTGATGCCAAGATTCGCATCTTTGACCTGGGGCGGAAGAAGGCAAAAGTGGATGAGTTTCCGCTCTGTGGCCACATGGTGTCAGATGAATATGAGCAGCTGTCCTCTGAAGCCCTGGAGGCTGCCCGAATTTGTGCCAATAAGTACATGGTAAAAAGTTGTG